CAGTTCTCCTTCTAATCTCCCCTTAATTAGTACATATCTTCCTTCTTTGTCTATTGTTTCTGAAAGCTTTTCAAATATAGATCTTCCTGATATAAGGATTGCGACTCCCCTCCTACGGCCTGATTTATAAGATGAGTAAAATACTTGACTAAAACCATTTCTCTTTAGTTTCTCAWGTTCCTTCTCTGTCAGGTGCGTCTCCTGCAGTAGTGCCACTCCCACCCCCTCCCTTCTCATTTTACCTAATACTTTAGACCTTTTAACTGGGTTGTGCAACCCGTTCACATTAAAAGAGGCCAACTTTAATACCTTTTTCTGTGTTGTCATTTACTCCTTGTGATTCCTTATTTTCCACCTTCTCTACACCTTTAWGAACCCTTAGGCTACAGATTAACAAAATAATAATGAACACATAACTGAACAGTTTCAAAACGTTCACTGATGAACTAGTGACTAACCCAAGAACTTCCAAGAGTGGGGTCTGCACTTTGACCCTTTGTAAGCCATGATGGAATACCTGCCCATAGGGATGTCCTCTCCCTGCCAGAGGGAGTGGGCCCTTCATGTTGCAGTTAGCTTTGTTCATGTTTGCACCTCCGCCCTAAAGTCCACAAACAAAAATAAGAGGATACCCCGACCCTGATGCAAAATATAAATAAAAAAACACCCTCAGGAAATAAGTAAATAAAAAAACAATAATTCCGTTAGATAGACCCGAGTTATAATTCCCTAAGCCCCGGTTTTTCCCCTCAACCTTGATTAGACCCATCCAAAAAAACAACAGATATCTTAAATACCTCATTTAAAAGGCAGTAGTCCTTAAATCTCATCCTGACTTCTTCTAAAACCTTGCAATCGTTGTTTGTATCCTTCTATTGTCTCTCTCGGTGTCTGTCCTCCTTTCTTGGCCCCGATGGTCTTCCAAGTCAGGCGTCTAATCTTCTCCAAGCTGTTCTCCGCCGGTCTGGTCACCGCCACCTGCAGCCCTCGCTCCGCCATGTCTTTGGTCGCCTCCTCAGCCGTGTTGTAGATCCGCGTCTCTCCCTCGTAGAAAACCCGCAGTCTCGCCGGGAATGGCGTCTGGAACCGTATTTTTTTCTCCCGCAGGACTCTTTTCGCC